TATTACTGCCAACCAATTGCAGGACGAAAGATTCCAATCGATATCGATTTAGCATGCTTCTGTATCATATCTTCAGCGACTGATTTCGTGTACACATATGTATTCGGGCATATTCCAAGTAATCTAAAAAAAAGGAACGATGTAAATGTATTATTAATTAATGCATAATACAAATTCTTAAATTCTTTTTTTTGTAAATAAATGTGAAATAAGTAAAAAGAATTATTATTTGGAAATTTAAATGTACCGCGGTGTAATGGCGTTGAGCAATTTTTCATCCAAAGAATTCATCAGATCAATCAACTTGTTTCCATCCATAGGTGGATCATAAAATATCTCTTTAATCGAATTATGAAGACAATTAGCATAATCCGTTGATATGTGTACAAAACTCTAAATTATCAAAGATAACGAACATTTACAAAAGTCAATGTATTCCTCGAAATATTCCTTGATAGTTATTAGTAAGTATATATAGGGTAAAGATGGTACCATCAGATTCGGCATTTCTTCGGATAAATTTATCAAATCCCTTAGACTTTGGACGTTAATAGCTACCGCCGCTTTCATTGCTTCATTGAATCTCACGGTCGCGGCGACATTGAAAACAATTGATACTTCGCGTATGAGTGTAGCTCTATCAATTTTGGAAATACCGAGATTTAGCAAGCTACAATCTCCCTTGATCGCGACTATTCGTTTTCAGAATTTTGGTTCTACTTCCTTCAACTTGGAAAATAACTAGAAAACGCACAGAGTTGCAAATTTTGTCTATTTCGTTTAAATAAATGTCATAAAAAAATAAATAGCATTCGAAGACTTCGTACATGTTTAAAGTACATTAAACCAATAATTTATTTATTAATTTCTTGTTTCGTATATCTAGCAAGTATATACAAGGTATTCAATTTATCTCAAATAATTAAAATTTCAGAGACTGAAGAGAGCAAAAAAATTTTTGAAGAGATTTGTTTGATATGATCGGAAACATTGGATGGTGCCAAATTTATTTATATAATTCGAACGATATGGAAAATTCTACAGTTAAGTTCATTTTTTTAATAGAAATATATATTCTTTTTTCATGGTTCAATGATTTTTTGAGACGAATTCGACGACTTTCTATATGAAGTCATTTATTATTATAAAATACTATAAATTACATTATAAATTCGTGAGATCTCAAATAATAAGGAATACAAATATATATCACTAGTTCATGACTGTTATACTGCATAGAATTCAACATGAATGTAAATCAATCCAATTATCAAAAAGCAGTTATATAGTTCGATTTAAAAAAATGAATTTGACTTTGAAATTCTCCCAACGTTTAACACGCTTAAAAAGAAATTGAAACATGATGGATCCCTTCACATTAAACAAATTCGTACAAAAACTTTCTTTTTTAAGTTCGACCTCTCACAAGATATTCCCATTTTTTAAAAATAAATAAGACACGCTGTATACATTATTTAATAAATACAGAATCTCATAGATAAGGAATCAAAGAAAATATAGAAATAATAAACAATTTACCGAATCTTCCATAAGTTCATCCAAGCGTTCAAGAACATTTTTCCCTTTTTTCGAACGTATCAAAATATAAATGCATCTGATGCCAGGACATCCTCTTAACAATTTCTCGATTAATAATTTTCCCATGAATCCAGTTCCGCCAGTTAAAAATACACTTTCATCGTCGTAAAACTTTTGAATAGGTGTAAGCTTATCGATTATTTCGACGGACAATTCTATAGTTGATGTTCCAACTGTTGAATCAAGGGCCACTTCTTGACCATACTCTTCTAACAGCGGTTTCATCATTTCTACTCTTCCAAATTGATCTATAAAAGTAAGCGCGAATTAGAAATTTTTTTAAATTCTATATCATAATTTTCTCTTTCGAACGAGTTTTTTTAATCTGCTTCTGAAAAAAAAACTGATAATTTTATAACCTTAACGTCAGAGTATATATGCTAACGCGACGAAGCTGAAATGTCTTCTGAAAAAATTATAAATTGTACTCTCGATTATTATTGACGCATTTTTTTATTAACGCATTTTATTCTAACTGCGTCTTTTCTTTTATCTTCATATTCATCTGACGATCACTTTCAATTATAAAATATATATTCATAGTAAGCACGTTTGTGTATATATACCTACATACTACTTTTCTGAGATGCGAACGTACGAAAAGTAATAATGGGAAATAAAGAATGTTAAATACGGTTGACAATCGAATAAATCTACATTTTAATTGATTATTACAATATATTTTCTTCTATAATCTATTATGATTATGATCAAAGAAGCAATTTTTCGTGGAAAGTATTTTTCACCTTTCTAACTTGTCTTGAAATTATTCGCAAAAAAATCAATTGACACAGTGCGTTATGAGGGGAGTGAGATTGTGACATTGGTTTGTCGAAATTTATCCACAATAAGTACGTATGCAATATAAGATACATATCTATATCTATAATAAATAGGTATCTTATTTTCAGCCTACCGTTTTGAGAAATTGTTCGATAAAACAAAAACAAAAAAAAACCACTCACGTTATGGATTCATTATCATTATTGTTTTCAAATCTTACGCCAAATTTTACGATAGTTTTCTCTCTATTCTTGATTTATCATCTCCCAATTCAATTAAGAAACATAACATTTAAATAATAATCAGGCTTCGATGAATTACAAATCGATGTAATTGAACAATCGAACTGTCGATTTAATAGAGAAATAAAAAAAAAAGCAACAGCAGCATATAATAGGAAAAAAGAAAAGTTTATGTAATTCATTTAATTGAGAAAACGATCTTTCTACAATAATGTCGTTTATATATTATAATATACAATATTGAATACATAATCTTGAATAGAACATAATTTTGAATATTCGTTTCGAAAATGCGATTCTATGCTTGTTTTTTATACTGAATTCCCTGTCAAATATATAGTTAAATATACAGTTTATATTTGCATTATATTTAATGCCACTTGCAAATTAATATAATAAAATTATATAATATAACATTTTATAATAATATAAAATTTCAGAAAATAAATATTCATAAAAATATAATATGTTATAAAATAATATAATAAAAAAGATACGAAACATATAAACGAAGTATCGTGATTGTTTCACACTGACTATTATTTTCACCTAATATTACGCATAATCGTAAATATATACTTTAATAATTGTAAAATTTTTTTTTGTAAAATTTTACTCTCTTTCACAGGTATTTTCCAATTATGAATTGAAATTGCGTATATGCTTTAAAAAAAATTATTAACGTACTTAATAACTTAATCACAAACGTACTTTCCTTCCGTACTCACGATAGGTGTATATACTCGAACAGAGTTCACTTTTACACTAAACTATAAAATCAGATAGAAGCAGCTTAATATTATTCCCCTTTACTATTTATTCAGCATATCCAACACGATCTGAAGGTGTAACAATTCTAAAGGTCAAAACTTCATTTTTAAGTTTTTGCTCGAATTATTGAAATCTAAAATAACTATAAACAAAAAATGCAAATCAATTTATCATGATGAAAATGATAAGGAATATTCGAAATCAAAACTCGCCAATAATAACCTCAATATACTTATGTATTTATTGACCTGACGCATAATTATTGCATTATTAATTTCATGCTAATTTTCATTGCTTTCCAATAAATATCGAAGAACAAATCATCTAACAGTAATATATTGTTTTCAAAAAATATTTGCTTTTATGTGATTTACGATTTAAATTTATGCAGGAAATATTTTTATATAATTACATAAAAATATTTAATTACTTTATACAAGTTTTTAAAATTATAGCGGGATATCTTTTTATAAGTAATAAATAAGTTAATTAATAAGAAAAAAAATATCCGACCAAATTTTTATGAATAAAAATATCCAAATAATTATAATTTCCTTCCGTGCCATCCGAAAAGAAGGCTAAAGTTATAATTTTTCATAAAATTTACATTTTAGAATCCCTTAAATATGAGAACTCATTGATCCGCACTTCGACAAGAACGTGAATTAAAATTATTCTTTCCTCTTCATCTTCATTGACAATCTTGTTTCTTTTATGAAAATCTGAACATTACGATAAGTCGTGAAATCATGTAATTATAAAGAAGATACAGGCAATAACGAATTTCAATATTTGATGCTTCCATTAAAGCATTAAAAATTCGAAAAATAAATATTATTAGAAAGCGATAGTGAACGTAAAATGCAAGAAAGAAGTTATCTCTGTTGTTTTACACAAACATGTAGATGCATTTCAATGAGATTCTTTAAGAGATATGTTTGAAAATAAATACCCTTCAAAAACAAAGTCCTTCATAAAAGGAAAAAGAAGTATTTACGACCTTTGGTTGCAAATTTATGCGATATATCAACCACTAATGACTAGCGGTTTGAACATCAGAACTCCGTACATTAAGTTCACTTTTACCAATCCATCCTGATGATTAGTTTCTATTAATCCCATTCCAGCACCTGCTGTAATTCCTATTGGCCCTTACATATACTATAAATCCATCCTTAAATAGATTCTTAATACATGAATATTATTAAGAATATTATGTTAATTTTTTCGCTATCAGTGACTATAGTTGATCACTATAAAATTTTTCTGATACATTATGATCGACTAAAGTGGTTTACGTTCAAAATCCTTCATACATACCAGAGACGACTAAAGTCACGAATAATTAAGTTCCCGAAAATCAGTGAAAAAAATCAAATCAAGGAAAAGAAATTTAGATAGCCTATATATATAATTTTATAATATATATAATTATATAATACTAAATGGTAATAACTATATACATATATAAAGTATACTTTCTTCAGGTAGATTTGCCGCGCTTCTCATTGCTCGCCCTTGCATTGTCTTCTGTTATTTACAAATTCTTTTGTTACCTACAAATCGAGCCGTTAAGATTTGGAAGAGAAACGTGCAGTAGGAAATAGAACTTAGAAGAGAGAAGTAGTATAAGAGTTTACAAAGAAATTTATAAAAGATAATATATTAAATAAAATTTAAGTAGTGTGAATAATAAACGTAAATTATCGTTTCTTTGTTCACAGGTAAGACTGTAAATAACAAATAAGTATTATTTAACAAATAAAGATTTATTCCTTTGTTCACAGAGAAACATATTTTCGTTTATCACCTCACATAATCAATTCGAGATATTATAAAACGACAATTTTTGGTTTATAATCGAAAAAAAACTACAATTCGCATTTAAATGTGTGGCATCACCGAGCGACAGAAAGACAAACGTGATTGCCATAACCTCTACCACAACTGAGGACAATGAAAAATATATGTTGCCAGAAAATGAAAAATTTGCAAGTAATCACAGCGAACTAATAAAAACAGAAAGTTATAAGAGAATAAAAAAAAGCTTCAATCAAAGAGGCCAAGAAAAAAAATATGGATTAAATGCACACAGGAAATGGACAGTACGTATTTGGATGAAAATGGCAATTTAATGTTTAATGATCTATACCTAGAAGAAATAGTAGAAACAAACATAGTAGAACCCGTACAGAAGAAAGAATACCAAATAGATTTAAAGTGTATATCGGAAAAATTCATGATTGAAAAATTTGGATGTAAACACTCAAATGTAGAACAATGGTTGGAGACATTTGAAAAAGAATGTCAAAGAATCGAAATTAAAGAAGATAACACAAAAATTGAAATTTTAAGATTATTCCTTGACAGGGCATGTTTAGACTGGCATTCAGCAACACTAACAGCGCTGACAATAGAGGCTGGTTGGAACGAATGGAAACAGAGATTCTTATGATGATGCTTATGGCAACAGGATTACCAGAGTTCATAAGAGATAAAATAGATAGATAAAATTTTCATAGCTCAACAGAATTATTACAAGAAATAAAAAAATGTGAAAATTTAGTAAGTAAAAACAGTTTTACAAAAAAGAAAGAGAAAATACAAGATAATAAGAAGAAATTTGAAGAAAAGAAACCATGTAAGAATTGTGAAAAACTAAACAAAGGCATTAGATATCATTCAAAGGGCTCCTGTTGGTTTAAAAAGGAAAATAGAAAGGAAACCAGAATAAACTGAAGCAATTCAATGATAGAAGTGGACCTATGTAAGGAACAAAAAAAACGAATAATCGTTTGATCGAAGTCCATTGATCAAAGTGAAGATAATATTAGAAGAGAAGTTAGAGGTAAACGGAACATATGACCCAGGTTCCCAAATCTCTCTAATAAATTCGAGACTAGTCAAAATCAAAAAAAAAAGAGACAAAAGATAAAAATAAAATATTTTTAAAGACGGTCGATGGTGTGACACAAAAAAAAAGTTTAGTAACCATTAAGGTAAAAATTTTCGGTAAAGAGGAATACGTTGATGTATTTATTGTAGAAAGAAATAACTTTGACGATTTCATTATTGGGTTAGATATGGTAAAGAAATTTAAACTAATTCAGGATGAAAACTTACAGATATCTCAAAAGAAAGAAACACAAACAAAAAAAAATATAAATACATGGGATAGAAATGAAGAAATAAAAGAAGTTACAGTAAATTTTAACAAACATGTGAATGAAGACAAATTTAGATTGGATCTGAATCAGACACTAGTAAACAAAATAAGATGCAGGATAAATGAGAAAGAAAAAAAAAGAGCTTGGACAACGATCGCTAAAGAATGTTTGGATAAATATAATGAAACAGAACATACAGTAACCGGCTTTACGCCTAAGTATTTGTTAGATGGCACAAACACTAGCATTTTACCCGAAGAAATAAAAAGAAGAAACGGTAAAGAAAATTGGATAAGAGATAAAGAACTAGCTCTAGAAAGAACAAAAAAATCGCACAAATATAACAAAAAGATATTTAACAAGAATAGAAAGAATCACCGGTTTAACACAGGAGATCTGGTGTATATAGAAGATGTCAATAGGTTGAGTAGAAATAAATTAGAGGAATTGAGAATTGGTCCTTTCCAAATAGTAAAAAAAATATCAGAATCAATAAACAAAATAAAAACAGGAAAACGAAAACAAGAAATTAGATTCTTCCACATAACAAAATTACTTCCAATATCAGAAGATGGAGACGAGGACTAAAAATTGTAGGAATTTTATCCTGCGGGGGGGTGGAGGAGATTTAAAGAAAGTATATTTTCTTCAGGTAGATTTTGCCACGCTTCTCATGTAACATTTTTTACGAAAATTCAAGTAAATAATTACGTGAAAATTTTAAATAGCATAAAAAGATTTGTGAGTTACACGAAATCACGGAAAAATAAGAAATTAAGGTATTTGGTTAATATTACAATTCAATAGAATATAGAAGAATTAGCTGCAACTACCATAATTAAAACCATAAATAGAACGCGAAAAATTTTTTTTTAATTTTCGAAATATTCAGAAGTCTAAACACGGAATGTGATCAGCTTTGATTATTCTTTTGTTAGTGGACTGATCAAAAATATTTTTATCTGACATAAACATTGTTGAGAAGGAATATGTAATGTAATTATTTACAGTAAATTTCCTGACATTCTTTTTTGTCAGTTTTTATATGATCCCCTTTTAGTTTTATATAGACCAGTTTTTAACTTTTTTGCACTTATCTTTTATCAAATATTGAAAAGATTTCTCCAAGAATCGTAATAAATATTTTTTTCCTGTCTGAATGAAGTGAAGATTAAAAAATTTGTCTAGTAGAAAGAATTACGTATCATTTTATTAACGAGGAATATTACACGTTGTTCCATTTGCGTAGTACGCGAAAAATTATACTTAGATTACATTTGCAATTGAAATATTTTTTTTACCTTATAGTAGATAAAAAACAATATCATGAAGCAATTAATATTAATATATATACATGTGATATTTTTCCCTTTCAAATTATCGAGGACACCAATTATCGATCATTTTCTATCATAACGAAATTGTCTATTTTAAATTATAGATATATATTAGGACGAGTAATAGATGCCATGAATGCTTTTTAATAATCGATATTAAGATAGACAGATCAAACCCATCGGAATAAAGATTGTGTTAATCAAACGTTCGATTATAATATTTTCAACGGACACTTGAACTTACTTGCATTATCGTTTAAACGATTAATATAAATAAATACGATAGAGAAACAGAAAAGATTTCTACATTTACGTTTATATTTATGTTTTCAGATCAATTTAGAAAAGCAAATATGATAGACGTACTGCCAGAAAGAGGTGAACAAGAAACAGCCCTATCGGAAAGTTCTTTGAGAGATGCTACGGAAACTAAATATGCACTTGTATAAATTCAACCCATCGAGAATAATTACGAACTTACACCCATTTAAAAATTTTACAGTGGTCAAAGTGTTTTTATAACTGGTGGAACAGGGTTCATAGGAAAGTTATTCATCGAGAAATTGTTAAGAGAATGTCCCGATATCACTTGCATTTATCTTTTGATACGTACAAAAAAAGGAAAAAGTGTGCATCAAGGCATGAAAGAACTAATTGAAAATTCTGTGAGTTATTATATCTATTACAGGGATTAGTAAATTATTATTTCTCCTTTGACCCAACTTTAAAATTATCTCTTTCTATTAAATAATATAATTGGTATATAAAGTAAAGAAAATTGAGAGACAAAGTACTGATCTATCATAACCAGTGGAAAAAATCGTAAAAAGTTGTTTTCTTGTTATTTATAATAACGAACGTGAGAGAGAAAATATTTATAACTCTTTCAACTTTCCAGTTATTTTCCACTTTGAGAGAGAAACAACCAACATTCCAGAATCGTATAGTCCCAATCAGGGGCGATTGTACCTTGCCGAATCTCGATATCTCAATGGTCGACAGAGCTACGCGAGGTCTCAATTATTTTTCATGTCGCCGCAACCGTTAAGTTCAACGAGAAAATAAAATTGGCGACAGAAATCAACGTTCGAAGTGTAAAGGATATAATAAATTTGTCCAAAGAAATGTCAAACCGAAGGTGCCACTTTTGTCCTCTGTCCTACGTATTAATATCAGTCAGGGTCTTTCAAAATCTGACTTTAACAAATCTTTGTTATCCTTAACATTTCAGAGTGCTGTGCAGGTATCAGCGGCTTATTCCAATTGTTTTCATATTCCACCTGAAGAGAAATTTTATGACCCACCGATAGATCCCGATAAGTTGATAAATTTGGTGAACATTATAAATGAAAAATTGCTCGACGATATTACCCCACAGTATGTTTATATCTCGGAGTATCGATTGCTTAGTTTATAATATATTTAGTTATAAAAAATATAAAATGAATAGATAGTGCACTTAATTACACTCAGACAATTGTTTGATTATAGATTACTCGGAATATGGTCAAATACTTATGTTTATACGAAAACAGCCGCATAGAATTTTATAAAAAAGCATGCTGACTCTATACCAATTGGAATATTTCGTCCAGGAATTGGTTGGTAGTAATGTAATCCTTACAGAATAAAACAATAAATGATGTATGATAATCAATTTAATATTCCTAGTGATATCCACTTATCGAGAACCTATTCAAGGATGGATCGACAACGTGTACGGATCATAAAAAATGTTTTTATGGGATTAATGCGAATTCACTACTGTGATAAATCGAAAAATGCGGACATGGTACCTGGTGATTTGACCGCCAATGGAGTAATCGCTAGCGCATGGGAAATTGCAAATAATCGAAAGTAACGACAAATACTTCAAACAATATTTTTAGGTTCAAATTAAATAATGATATTAGATAATATTGAATTAATTCGTCTGTATGAATACATAATCTTTGTAGATTCAACGAAGATATTCCCATTTATAATTACATATCAAAGGACAATTCATTCACATTCGGCAGATTTTTAAACGAGATACTTACGTATGAAGAATTGGTAACTTCTGAAAAGACAATTTGGTGCCCCATATTTGAAATAACAAAATATCGGCCGATCTATTTTTTCTACGTATATTTTGTTCATTTACTACCAGCTCTTATAATCGATACACTCTCTTTGTGCAGGGGTAAAAACCCAAGATAAATTTCTCTTATCTAATTTTCTGATGGGAGCATATTAGAACGATAAAGAAGCGAAAAATTTTATCTAGCGATGATCCTTTTCGCTCAAGATTACTCAGAATGTATAATAAAATTCACGAAATGTCAGATCTACTTAATTATTTTTGTATAAACGAAAAAAAATTTACGAATAAAAAATGGAACGAATTGATGAGAAAGTTGACATGAAGGATCTCGTTTGGAATACTTATTTTGAAACATACTTCACAGATGTAAGAAAATATATCTTAAAGGATCCTATTGAGACACTTCCACAAGCTCGTATAAAATGGCGAAGGTATCTCTCTTATTGCATTTTTACTTCATTTTCCCTCTGTTATTGATAATCACTTTCAAATAATATTGATTTTTCAAATTTTCAGGGTTTTATTTGATACATCAAGCATTGAAATTTCTTATCGCCTGTGTTCTATTTATCATCACATGTGCTGTGATTTCCTGGCTGCTTGTAACGTTTGGATCTCCGTAAAAGAAGCAAATATAAGCAAAAGAATGAAGAATAAAAATAATCATAATTTAGACTATCGCCTATGTACGAATCAATAATTTCTTGAATAAAATATATCAAAGTTAAACGGTTTTTATTCGTGAAATCTCGGACAGATATTTGGGTTAGAACAAGTTTCATTCCTAAACTTCACTGAAATCATGTATCACTTTTTCTGCGTTTTCTCTTTCTTACTAAAAATTAAAGTAAAATGAATAAGACAATAATTCAAAATCCGTTCGATAAATACATATTTCGGAATCATAACTGGTGAGATTTGTTCTTGAAATACATATTAATTTCGTATCATTTTTATTGGTAAATTTATTATTTTGGATTTTTTTGTGAAGTGCATTTATCATACTGATCCCAAATCCCATAAATTTAACCAAAACGTCGAAAATTAATTTCTAAATGTAAAGTTTTTGATCCTTATGAGTTGCGTACATTGATAGTTTTAGCCTTCTATGGTTGAAGGGAAAGGCTATCTATTTCTACTAAACTTTATAGTTCAATGCAACAGTGAGTACATTCAACAACATCTGTACGTGACATGAGCATAAGGAACTAATGTTTGCTTCAAACATTTATAATTGCGATGAAAATGCGTCAATTTTATTTATGCAAAACGGGAAAAACTTGTGCAAGAAGTAAAATATACATTGATTTTAGTCCCATCCCATATTTCTCACATATTAACACATTTATGAACGGTGTTTTTCGGTTTAATGATCGTGATGATCAAGATGAGGATGCCTCATGTAATTTAAGAAAATCTATATGTAAGTATTGAAAGATAGAAATATATAAAATGTATATCAATATAATAAAAATATTCTCTTCTGATATCATGTTTAAAATTAATTGTCGTTTAAAAAAGAACTGACACGATCAAAAGAAAACATTCTTATGCCAAATAAATAAGAGTATTTATAAATAAAAACAAATTGAAAGAAGTCGGAATGGATTTCTAACAGATATAAGGATAAATGTTGGATTGAATTGATTTAAAAAAAATCCATAATTTTAGTTTACCAAAGTAGGGAACAATTTTCTTTATCCTGTAGTTCATATTGATATCTAGTAGTTACATTTTTATAAAAAGATATATGAACAAGATTAATAGAAAAATAGAGATTAAATAAAAACAAAAATTATTCTATAAAATGCGCGTTAAACAGGATCAACGAAAAGTATACTTGCATCGACAGAAATAGATTAAAAAATTGTTAGAATAATATGAAATCAATTAATGCGACATAGTTGCTTTGCATGTTGATTCGAATATGTAAATGCAAAAATATAATAAAAATGAATGATGTAATATTTGAGATTATCAAGAATTCAGAAAAACATGAACAGAAATAAAGCGTTTCAAAGTTAATAAACGTAAATAATAAGATGCTATGGAGAATTTGAAAAGATAGTTAATTGTAGCACTATACCTTATACCTAAAAAGTATTTCATACCAAATCATTTTCCAAATAGTGTTTTATTTTTCACAAAATCTACCCTATTTCTGGTAATTCTTCTCTAGGTACGCTCTCGGCATCATTATCGAGCTTAGTATATCGTTCAGTGATTCTATTTTTAAACATGGCTGATACCATAGTGTCGATAAATAAGGAAGCAATATTTCGAGATAACTTATGGTTTGATAGTCCAGTAAAAACTACAAACTCGAACGCCGCCAAAATAAGCTTACACATTACTACCGCAAGGTGTCGCCTAAGTTATTCTTTGATTCTTCCACTCTTCTACTAACCAAAATAAAAATTTGTTAACAAAGATGTACGTTCAACTTAATATAAGTTCTGGCTGAAAAGAAAACCATTGTTATCAATTAATTAGTAAAGTTGATGACGTAAAATATTATTAAAATTAAAATCATTGAATGCAATTTTGAAATATTATATTAAAATGAAGAACAGATCAACACGTCATAAATGGAAAGATACATTTCAGGTTATATTATATTATTAATAATGTAATAATTTTTGAAAAAATTACATATTATTTAATAATATTCCCTATTGTTATAATTTAAATCGTTCTTTTGAAAAAGTACATGACACAAGTATTTTCTTTGTGTAGCTTGCAAAAGGGAAGAAAACGACGAGGAAGTGGAAATGTATTTTTATGAAGCAACACAAAAATGGAATCTCATGAAATTAACATATGACTATTGTAGTTCTAAAATATAAATGAGAAAAATTATTATACTTTCGTAATCGCTCGATAAGGAACAATTAATCATCGAACGTTCCTAAAATATATATAGTTAAAAATTAAAGAAGAGTAAGTATTACAATTTCTTTTTAGAAAAAATTGCAAGATAGTAAACATTAACTTACTCGCATTAAAAAAACTCGCATTTCTTTGTAAAACAGACATTATAACTTTATTCCAATAAAAAAATGAATTCTTAAATCAAAATTTTATTTATACCAATTAAAAAGAAATATTCAATTTCAGCTACAAATTATCCAGGAAAACTCGGAATTATCAGCAAATGAAAATAAGCTTATCTCTAAAAACAATGAAAAAGAAAATGAAGATGGTAATGACGATAATGAAAACGTGATGATAAAAATAATACTTTAGTTGACCAAGACAATGAAGAAAGAATGGAATGATATAAAATTAAATAATGAAAATATTGTATATATTTAGAAGATAAAGATGAAACGACAGATGCACATTTGTTTGACATATGAAGACATATTGAATTTTCGTATATTTATTCATATATTATTTTCATAATCTAGACCAAACTATAATTCGATAGATACGCAACATTGGAGAATTATGGTTATGCTAATCTGATTGCTACTTTCAAGATTTTAACTTGGATTGTAATCGAGCGATTACAAATAGATTTTCATTCATAAAATTCATAAAATTAGTAAATATATTTGTCAAAAATTTAATTTTCTTCGCATAGATCTCGAAATAAGTCAAAAGTCATATTGTTTACTCAGATAACGATTATTGATTATATAAAAAGAGTAATACTTTACCTCTTACTTCACTGATGAAATGATAAAGAAAAACTGTAGCTATAGAAATAATTGAGGCACTTAATTTGTTCTCATTGGTATCATTCTATTTAATATTAATTAGAATCCCTATTCTAAGTATACAAGTTTATTATGTTCTGAGAAATACAATATTCAAATGGGCCACTGATATTAATGGGATATAAATGGGAAAATTAAATGAAATACTTTTTAATGTAAAGTCTCATTTGATACAAGAAACGTTCACGATTATAGAATCATCTACTTTTGGAAAAATTGACAAAGGAGGTAACTTCTGTGACAAAGAAATAAATGCGTAAGGAAGAAAATACGAAATTCTATAGTAAAAGACAACAAAACTACAACAAGAGATATATAAGCTGCATGTAAAGTGTCGTAATTAGTTCTACAAAGTATGTCATCCATATATATGGTTCTTTTTATTTGTAATACGATTATCAACATTTATATTTCCTTATACATTTAATAAATTTCTAATTGTAGTTTGTGGGACAATTGAAATTAGCAGTAAAGGAAGAAACCTTAAATTATACAACGAAGGAAGAAAGTAAACAAGAAGAAAAACGTGAGTAGTGAATAAGAAAGAGAATCTCAATAGGAAAAGTAAAAAATAATAGAGTAGTCTATAAGAAAGAGAATGTCAAAAGAAAGATCGACTTTGAAATTCTCTAATTAGGCGTTTTATGTACATATCCATGTAAAAAAAGTGTACTTCCTTGAGTTAGATTTGCCGCGTTTCTCATGTCCCGTTCTTCGATTGACTTTTGTTATGTACAAGTCGAGCCGTTAAAATTTTGAAGAAAAACGAGCATTAGGAAATAGGACCTATGTACGAGAGATTACAGAGAAATTTTATAAAGATAATATATTAAATAAAATTTAAGTAGGGTAAATAATAAACGTAAATTGTCGTTTCTCTGTTCATAGGTAAGACTGTAAATAGCAAATAATTGTTAATTAACGAATAAAGATTTATTCCTTTGTTCACAGAGAAACATATTTTTGTTTATCACCTCATCCAAAATAATAAAACATATTATAAAACGACAATTTTTGGTTTATAATGACAAGAAAACTACAATTCGTATTTAAATGTGTGGCATCACCGAGCGGTAGAAAGACAAATGTGATCGCCATAACCTCTATCACAACTGAGGACAAAAAAAAATGTGTTGCTAGAAAATGAAAAATTTGTAAGTAACCACAGCGGACTAACAAAAACAGAAAGTTATAACAGAAGGAAAAAAGCCTCAATCAAAGAGGCCAAGAAAGAAGAATATGGATTAAGTGCACACAGGAAATGTACAGTACGTATTTTGATGAAGATGACAATATAATGTTTAATGATCTATATCTAGAAGAGATAGTGAAAACAAACACAGTAGAACCCACACAGTAGAAAGAATACCAAATAGATTTAAAGTGTATATCAGAAAAATTCATGATTAAAAAATTTGTATGTAAACACTCAAATGCAGACAAGGGATGGAGTACATGTATATACGCTATATCCTACAGATATAAAGAAGGTTCACTAATGGAATACGTTATGAGGAAAGTAAAACTATTACTGGATATGGACAACGATATCAGCACAAAGAATCTGATGATGCTTATAGCAGCAGGATTACCAGAATTCATAAGAGATAAAATAGATAGAGAAAATTGTCAAAGCTCAACAGAATTATTACAAGAAATAAAAAAATTTGAAAATCTAGTAAGTAAAAACAGTTTTACAAAAAAGAAAGAGGAAAGGCAAGATAATAAGAAGAAATTCGAAGAAAAGAAACCATGTAAGAATTGTGAAAAACTAAACAAAGATATTAGATATCATTCAGAGGACTCCTGTTGGTTCAAAAAAGAAAATAGAAAGGAAATCAGGATTAATGGAAGAAATTCGATGATAGAAGTGGACCTAAGCAAGGAACAAAAAAACAAATAACCATACCATTGATCAAAGTAAAGATAGTATTAGAAGAGAAGTTAAAGGTCAACGGAAGATATGACACAGGTTCCCATGTCTCTCTAATAAATTTGAGACTAGTCAAAATAAAAAAAAAGAGACAGAAGATAAAAATAAAATATTTTTAAAGATGGTCAATGGTGTGACAGAAACAAAAGGTTTAGTAACCATTAAAGTAAAAATTTTGGATAAAAAGGAATACGTTGATGTATTTATTATATAAAGACTTCGAAGATTTCATTATTAGGTTAGATATGATAAAGAAATTCAAACTAACTCAGGATGAAAACTTACAGATATCTCAAAAGAAAAAAAAACAAATAAAAAAAGAATATAAATACATTGAATAGAAATGAAGAAATAAAAGAAGTTGAAGTAAATTTTAACGAACAGGTGAATGAAGATGAATTTAGATTGGATCTGAATCACTTGGACAATACAAGAAAAAAGGATAAAAAACTTATAGAAAAGTATAATTTCATATTCGCAAAAAATAAATATGATGTAGGCACCGTTTCGGACTACGAAGCTCGAATAGGCTTACTGGTTGATAAATATTGCAGTAAGAGGCCATATAGATGCACTATAGAGGATAAAAAGGAGATAGAAAATCAGGTGGCAAAACTATTAGAAAATAAATTAATTGAAGAATCTATAGTCCGTTTGCAGCACCAATAACTCTAACATTCAAAAGAGATGAAAACAAACGATCACGATTGTTATAGATTTCCGCAAATTGAACAAGATAGTTACACCACAAGCTCAACCATTCTCATTAATAGAAGATTTAATAAACTAAAAACAAGAAACTGTAAATACTTCACCTCACTAGATATAAATTCCGCTTTCCGATCAATTCCATTACATATTGAAGCTAAACAGAAAACAGGATTCGTTACACAAAGTGGACACTTCCATTGGACATGTCTACCGTTCAGACTAAAAACATCACCAGCTATTTTCCAAAGAATATTATTCAATATTTTAAGAAAGGACAAATAAAAGACTTTTCAGAGAATTACATAGAGGACATCTTCATTTTTTCAGAATCATTCGAAGAACATATAGAACACATAGAAAGAGTAACAAAAGCAATAGTAAATGAAGGTTTCAGACTAAAATTTGAAAAATGTACATTTGTAACAGAATCAGTGGAATATCTCGGACATATAATAGAGCACAATACAGTAAGACCAGTGAAAGATAATCTAATCTCAATACAAAATTTTCCCCACTTCAAAAACCCATAAAAATATTAGACAGTTTCTCGGAAAAATAAACTTCTGTCATGAATATATACCGAAAAGCTCAATACTGCTAGACCCATTACATAAACTATCAAGAAAAAAATGAGAAGTTTATATCGTCTGAAGAGTGTGAAAAATCTTTTACAAATATAAAAAAATTATTATGTTCTCAACCAGTGTTGCAAATATTCGATAAGAATTTACCTATAAAAATTTACACGGATGCATCAATAGAAGGCATTGGTGCAATATTTAAATAGATACAAAGTGATGGTAAAGAAAAGCCAGTAGCGTACTTTTCAAAAAAATTGAATGATTCGCAAAAAGGAAAAAAAAGCAATTTACTTAGAATGCCTGGCAATCAAGGAAGCGGTAATGTATTGGCAATATTGGCTGATCGGAAGAAAGTTCACGATATTTACAGATCATAAACCATTAGAAGGTATATGAACATAAAAGCTAGAACAGATGAAGAACTTCGGGAGTTAATGTACTATTTGTCACAATATGATTTTCAAATTAAATATATTCCGGGAAAGATGACGCTGAAGCAGATAATTTAAGTAGAAATCCAGTACTGGAATCATCCGAAAATACAGAAAAAATGCTAAAAGTAGTTAATCTAATAAAATTAAAGGAGATAAAAACAGATCAAAAAGATTATTACAAACATCAAGAACGCTAAAAAATTTTTAACTACAGATATTGGTCCAGTGAAAAAAGTAAAGAAATTCAAATACGTGGGAGAAATAATTCAAGAAAATGATGTAGAAAAATCTGCATTAGAAGAAAGGTTACGCAAGATGGAAATAGCATATGGTATCACTAAGAATTTTTACAACAAAAAGTGTTTATCTAAAAATCTTAAAATAAGTCACTACGCTACAGTAGTGAAAGCGGAATGCTTATACGCGAATGAATGCTTGGCACTAAATTATAGATTAGATAAACTAGAAGTATTAGAAAGGAGAATCATGAGGAAAATTTTAGGTCCAGTGAAAACAACAAAAGTATGGAAATTAATATCTAATGATGAAATATACAGGAACATAGAAGGCATAACAGAAAAGATAAAGGAAAAGAAGACTGCAATTTTTTGGCCATATTTACAGAATGGATGAGTCCAGATTAACAAAAAGGATACTCATATACCTTTGGGAGAAAAAGGCAACAACTGGCTGGATTCAAGAGGTAAAAAGAGATCTAGAAAGAAATAATATAAGTGAGGAAGAAACTATAGACAGAGAGATTTTTAGAAAGAGGGTATTAAACATGGAAGGATTCCAAGGAAGATTGAAGAAGAAATCTGTACGAAGTGGTCTGAGGACAGAAAGAAACAGCATAGTGAAAAGATGAAGGAATATTGGAGGGAACGGAAAAGAAAACAGCTAAGTGTGAAGAACTGAAATTGGCACATGGTCCCTAGCAGGCCTCATCGAAAGAAGAAGATCAAAAAGAGAATAGAACACTGCAGAAAACTAAAACAAAATTAATAGAAAAAGATGGAGTGTTCTATAAAAAAAAAATTAGAAATAAAGAAAAGATAATTTTATTTGAAGAATTAAGTTTAAAATTAATTAACACTAGAACTAACGACCGATCAAAATGACCAATTATATTAATTGTTCACAAGATTTTGTCTTGAAATTTTATTTAATATTTTATAATAATGTTATGATTTTTACTAAATTCATGTATTCAACATATATTATAAATTATTTTGATCGTTCACTTCAATTTTTCTGATATACATATGTGATATACTTATATATACCGACCGGTATTGACCAGTCTGCATTTTTAATGTTTCTGTGTGATACTTTTTTATTTTCTTATTGATAACTATTGTATACAGTTGAAATACTTACATTCAGTACAGTATTCAGTAATTTTTTTATTGGCAGCTGTTATATACGGTTGAAATACTTTCAATATTGTGGACAATTCTGCTGAATATATTTCTTTCAATTTATAGTTATCGTAGCTTGAAATGTAAGTAAATTGTGAATATTTTTATTATAATAAGGGAAAATATATTTAGAATATTTTTATCCAGAAACTTTACCTTAAAAATGCCGAGACGTTCGAAAATACCTAAAATTTTAGAGAACATAACAAATATAAGAGAAGACTTTTCCGATATCGACCAAGGTGATTTTGACCCTGAGATTGGACCATCAGATATTTCAGAGAATCAATCAGAAGAAGAAGTGTGTTTCCTCAGACGGCAATAATGAAGAAGAGAACATCCTGAATGTACATAGATCAAGAAGACTTTTGAGATTGTCATCTTCGGATCAGAATGACCGTCAACAAACTGAAATTGCTCCTGATGGAACTATCTGGACAAAAATAAAAGCTAGATCCACTCCAGGAAGGAGATCAATAAATAGCATTTTCAAAGCAGTAATTGGACCCACAGCATATACAAAACGAAGCATAATGAAGGCTACTGTAAGTAGTGCTTTTTTTTTTTTATAATTAATCGACGAATGATGGATTATATTAGAACATGCACAAAACTAGAAGCTTTTAGAGTTCTTGGTGAAAAATGGAATCTATCTTAAGAAAAATTTTCTTGCAATTTTATATGCACGTGATGCTTATAAAGCTAAGAATTTGAAATTATCTTATTTATGGTTTAAAAAGTGGGGACCAGCGTTTTTTTCGAAAACTATGAGTAGAAAGGAGTTTACGGATATTTTAAAATTTAACCGCCTCGATAAGAGAAATGAACGGAGTGTACGATTGCAAACGGATAAATTTGCATTGATTTCAATGTTTGATATTCATTCATTGAAAATAGCCAGAATTGTTACGTACTAGGAGAAAATATTACAGTCGACGAACAACTATTTCCAAGCAAAGCGAGATGCCGATTCATGCAGTATATGCCGAACAAACCCGATAAGTTCGGAATAAAATTTTGGTTGGCATCTGATCTCCAAAAATTTTTAATAAATGGGTTCTCTTATTTGGGAAAGGACGAAACAAGACAGTCATCAATTTTTTTCAAGATACATCTGAACTGGAAAACTTGAATGAGTTCTTGAAGAGCCCCGAGGGTTCTAATATACGAAAAACTTGCCAAATAGATTTTTGTAATGAAAATAAAACTATGACTATATATGCTGGCTGTAAAAAACATGTTTGTGGTAAATGTACATTGAAAAAAATTTCTTTATGCAAAAATTGTGGTGATCCAAATAATAACTAAACCTAAATAAAAAACAAATAATAGTACTACCTTTTATGTAAATAGATGTATATATCATGTACTTGCAATATTAGAATAAAATATATTTTATTTTCTTTAAAATTTTTCTTTGAATGTTTATATTTTGCCAACTAAATATCAGACTGGTCAAAATGACCTGTTTGGTAAAAATAGATATATAATAACTGTTAGTAGTTCTAGTGTTAAAGAAATACACTCTAAATGGTGTCATATAATGATCAAACAAAAACAGGATATCTCCTTATTATACAGCTAATTGTATAACTGCAAATGTAAAAAAAATTTGCCAGAATTGTGAAATATGTATTAAGAATAAATTCAGAGGGCAAGGAAAATATGGACTGATGTCACAATTAGGACCAGCAACAAAACCATTTGAAATAATGTCAAAATCAATAGATACCATTGGAGGCTTTGGAGGACAAAGATCGACAAAAAGATATCTCCACCTGCTGGTGGACCATTTTACAAGATACGCATTTATGGTAACATCAAAAACCCAGAGTGCAATGGATTTCATCAAGCTGATAAATAAAATGCTAGAAACAAACAAAATAGGACTAATACTCACAGATCAATATCCGGGAATAAACTCAAGAGAATTTAAGGAATTCCTAATAATGACACTAAACTAATTTTTACGGCTGACAACATACCCTTCTCCAACGGTCTGAACGAGAGATTGAATCAGACCCTAGTAAACAAAATAAGATGCAGGATAAATGAGAAAGAAAAAAAAAGAGCTTGGACAACGATCGCTAAAGAATGTTTGGATAAATATAATGAAACAGAACATACAGTAACCGGCTTTACGCCTAAGTATTTGTTAGATGGCACAAACACCAGCATTTTACCCGAAGAAATAAAAAGAAGAAACGGTAAAGAAAATTGGATAAGAGATAAAGAACTAGCTCTAGAAAGAACAAAAAAATCGCACAAATATAACAAAAAGATATTTAACAAGAATAGAAAGACTCACCGGTTTAACACAGGAGATCTGGTGTATATAAAAGATGGCAATAGATGGAATAGAAAGATTTAGATGAATTGAGAATTGGTCCTTTCCAAATGGTAAAAAAATATCAGAATCAATATACAAAATAAAAACAGAAAAACGAAAACAAAAAACTGGATTCTTTCACATAACAAAATTACTTCCAATATCAGAAGATGGAGACGAGGATTAAAAATTGTAGGAATTTTATCCTGGGCGGGGTGGAGAGATGTAAAAAAAGTGTACTTTCTTGAATTAGATTTGCCGCGCTTCTTATGTCCCGTCCTTCGATTGACTTTTGTTATTTGCAAGTCGAGCCGTTAAGATTTTCAAATGGGCATTAGGAAATAGGACCTATGCATGAGAAATTACAGAGAAATTTTATAAAGATAATATATTAAATAAAATTTAAGTAATGTGAATAATAAATGTAAATTGTCGTTCCTTTGTTCACAGGTAAAACTGTAAATAGCAAATAATTGTTAATTAACGAATAAAGATTTATTCTTTTGTTCACAGAGAAACATTTTCGCTTATCATCTCATCCAAAATAATAAAACATATAATATTCATATATCATTTCTTTTAAATTTAATGGTATAGCACTGTCGGTATTAAAAGCACTAATATTAGACCCATTAAAAGACTTTAAAAAATTAATATACTTAAAACTATTAAATATAATTTTATATGATAATTTTTCTGTTGTAGGCTTAGTAAATATCTTCAGTTATATTCACCTGCACCTCTGCTGACACGCTTTTCTAAATTACGATAAATTCATGGTACTGATGTGATGTTGCCGCATCGTGATATATCTCACACTTTTCCTCTGTGTTTCTACCATGCAATTGCTTCTTTTAAAGGAATAGTGTTTTATCGCTGAAGAAGAAGAAGAAGGAAAAAGCAGTCAGTTTTAATTCAGTAATCAACAATCTTAATTAGAGAATGTCTGAAATGAATCTTTCCAATCGGTTCATAACCCTGTAAATCTATTAATATATACATATTTGTGTAATATTTAATCAATTTTTACTCCTTAAATTATATTAATTTCTAACGATTGATCTATATTATTTCTTATAAATATGTAGGAAGAGAAATAAACTATGAGAATGTTTGGATTGTCAGAAAACAAGTGTAAATAATTTTTTATTTCAGACCTACAGGTAATTTCTTTTATTTTATAGTATTTCATACTAATTACATTCGAATTGTATTTTTTCTGTGCATATATATTTCGATATAAGTCATTTGAAAAGTATCTTAATGTTTATTAATGTATTACTTTATTTTCTCGTACACTTTTTGATTAAGTCCTTTGAAATATTTCTAATTTTGTATCTGAATATAGAAAAAAATAGCGGTTTTGTCATTTGTAAATAGTTATGTAAAATTTTACAAAATATATATATATATTATAAAGTCAGTCATAAGTAATGAAATATATTAAAATTATAAATCATTCAGTATTAGATTAAAAATATATTATATGATTGTTCGAATAAAATGCAAAGTTAGGTAGGAATTGAGAGTCACTGTTACGTTTCTCGCAAGTGCTCAGATGGTCTGCCATTCCTATATAATAAACTTCCAAAATTAACACTAATGAAGTTTCTTCGTGCGTCACTTTGGATCCACTAGCGGAGTTCGTCAGTAACTCTCAACTTGCTTTGAGGAAAGTCTCCCCCCTGGACCTTCAGCAAGAGAAGAGAGTGCCCCATAATTTTTAGCTGTTATAATCCTTTCTTCGCCGTCTTTCTCGATTATAGAATAGAAAGCCTTTGGCTGATCTTTTCGAGATTGGGCGAGAGTGTATTGGTCAAAGTAAAGTTTTTGATGTGTTCGAGACGCGGATTTCTATTCATCTTGTGTGGATGAATCTTTCGTATCTAACTGAACAGGGCTTTCAGCGAGGAAAGTTCTTTTGCAATTATTTCCTCCTCCTTTTCGTATTTTTTTATTTTTATAAATGGATTCTTAAATGCATTAAATAAAAACTGTTTAATTAATTTAATAAATTAACTTAATGATTGTTAGCTCTATGTTGAATAGAAAATATTTTGTAATACCTAACTGCAATAGAAAATATTTAAAATTTCTTAGATAGAATATTTTATTAAAAATGACAGATAATTTGCACATATTTTAATTTTTATTTAAGTTAATTAATTTATTTAATTTTACTGTCAAATTTGATTTCATATAAAAATGAAA